GCCGGACTCTGGATCCCGAGAATGCAGGATCGCGCCCTGGGCCAAAGGCAGGCGCTAAACCGCTGAGCCACCCGGGGATCCCCTCTTAGAGCCTTTTAAATAAATGTTTGTTGGAGCATATTTAAAAAGTAGGTGGCAATGAAATTTTAGTAACTTTTAGAAATCATGTTATCAATATATAAACTCTTTTGTCCATCTTACAGGAAATTTAAAACAAACATACAGCCAAAGGTAAAGGAGGCAGGCCAAATACTGCATTTAGTAAACCTGTCTTCCTATACCTTGGTGTGCAACTGACTTCAGCAAACTTTCAAAGTGGCTGGACCAGTCACTTAAATGCCTTGGGCTTACCCAGACTAACTTGGAGGCAGATCATCCCCTCGATGGCAGCAGCCTTAATCCAGACAAATAAGACAAGAATTCTGAAAATGACCTGTTTAACAATGAAGACTAAGAAACAGTATATTGAATTTTGAAACATACTGTACTCGAAACGCTAAATAAACTTCAACGAGATAGACCTGAGCTCTTATGCTTGCTTCAATTCAGAAATGCCCAAACAGGAGATTAGTCTTTAATTTGAGCCAACAGGTCTCTCCTACCCATTTTCCACTCAAGTTTTCCCCATGCTACCCACTGACCTTCAACCTGGCAGTCTATCCTACTTTTCAACATACTATGTATCTTCACTATCAAATTTATTTTTGACTCCTACTTCAAAACAAAAAAACCCAAATGGAACAGGAGAATGTACCAACTAACAGGGCAAATAAAGGTAAACAAATATTCCAGTAGCTAATAGATTTAGTTAAGAAAAAGGAAAATGGTCCCTGAAAAATGAGATGCCCTAACCCCAACCCTAACCTTACCCTAAGCCCTAAATCTGGAACACTGTGGAAATCCCAGGAATTTTTAAAGTACTATTATGTTAAGAGATAGTTCTGGGGCGCCTAGCTGGCTCAGTTAGTAGAGCATACGACTCTCGATCTCGGGGTTGTGAGTTAGACCCTACGATGGGTGTGGAAATGACTTAAAATCTTAAAAAAAAAAAAAGAAAAGAAAAAGAAAAATGGTTCTGCTTCTCTAAATTAAACCCCTCAGAGATCTCTGTATCTTCCTTAAAAGACCTCGATGCAGTAATTCCATTGACAGGTTGTATTTACTCTCACTGTATTTAAGAAGGTCCACCTAAAAAAAAAAAAAAAAAAAAGAAGGTCCACCTTCCCTAATATATACATAGTTACTGAATTTCTTGTAAATGGAAAAAGTGTGGAGATTTCTGCCTCTCCTTTCTGGAGTTTTTCTCAATTAATCCACATTTTAAAGTGTGAGCTTTTCCACCTGTTTAAAGTTTAAGTAGTCCTGGTCTGTTTTTTGTTGTTGTTTTTAAAATTTTATTTATTTATTCATGAGAGACATGGGGTGGGGGGGTGGGGGGCAGAGACACAGGCAGAGGGAGAAGCAGGCTCCATGCAGGGATCCCGGTCTCCAGGATCACAACCCAAGGCCGAAGGTGGCGCTAAACCACTGAGCCACCCGGGCTGCCCAGTCCTGGTCTGGTTTGGACGTGGTTATTAAAAGCCATTGGAGTCAGACTAAGTTTGGTTCCCATCTCTACCTCTGAACACCTCAGGTGTCTGGCTGGCTCAGTCAGTGGAGTGTGTGACTCTTGATCATGAGTTTGAGCCCCACATTGGGGGCAGAGATGACTTAAATCAATTAATTGAAAAAGTAGTTGGGGCACTTTATTTATTTTTAAAAAGATTTTATTTATTTATTCATGAGAGACACAGAGAAAGAGGCAGAGGGAGAAGCAGGCCCCATACAGGGAGAGACATGGGGCTGGATCCCCAACCAGGGACTCCAGGATCATGCCCTGGGCTGAAGGTGGCGCTAAACCGCTGAGCCACCCGGGCTGCCTGACTTGCTTGGGACACTTTAAAGCTGGCCTCTTGGCCTCTTTGTGCCTCTTTTCTCTCCCTGGAAACAAGATAATAGCATTTCCCATGGGGTTAGTGTGGAATTATGCATGTGAAGCAATTATTGCAGTGCCTGGCATGCAAGGGAGTGCCCAAGAACTTGTCTATGATCATCTTTGTGCCAAATCCTTCCTGCACCCAAGAGTTTGCACTGAAAAATTAACCCCAGATCAAGAAAAAAGTAAAGTATTGTTTGTGCAAACCTTCTTTTACATTACGTTCAGCCAGTAGGTAGGCAATTCCCAGAAAAATGTGCTTACAGTCCACAGAGGGGTACTTTATCTCATGTAGCTCTAAAGGATATTTCATCCTGGATAAATATTAAGAGAAATAGTGTATTTGGCCTTCAGCTCATCCTGGTAATCTTAAAGAAAAGACTGGAGTTCTTTTTTCTGGCATTGTTTATAAAAACCCAAGTTACCAAAAAAGAAAGATTCCAAAATGGCCCAAATTATTTTCAACGCAGGAAGACTGATGTGAAATGTGTATTTATTCTCTTGACACACAGCTTTCATAATCTCTCAAAAGTCTAAAAAGTCGTTATCTAAAAAGTCAAGTTGTTCTATCCATTCAGATAAGAGGCCTGTCCTATTTTTCTTTTAAAAATAATCAGTCTAAGGATCCCTGGGTGGCGCAGCGGTTTGGCGCCTGCCTTTGGCCCAGGGCGCGATCCTGGAGACCCGGGATCGAATCCCACGTCGGGCTCCCGGTGCATGGAGCCTGCTTCTCCCTCTGCCTGTGTCTCTGCCTCTCTCTGTGACTACCATAAGTAAATAAAAATTAAAAAAAAAATAATCAGTCTAGTCCAAGATCAACTTCATCCCTCATACATAAAAGTACTTTCTCTCTCCAAGACACCCTCGAACCCTCGGAAAGGGTCATGGACAGTTCTTTCCACCTAACAGAAATACAGGCTCTAAGGCTCTTCTTACTACCCTGTTTATCAACAGCTCTGCACACAGGATGAAAAACTGTATTCTAGCACCACTTCACACCTGGAATTTCTTTGACAAAGGACAGAATCCGTTTCTGACGGTGCTGAAATCTTTCCAGACTCCCAATAATTATTTAAGATGCATCACCACTCACGGACATGAAACGGATTCCAAATTTTACTCCATTTTTTTTTTCACGGTCTTCAGATATGAAAACGGTGTCTGATTAAAAATGGGAAAGCAGTTACTTTATCAAATGAAGCTGAAAGTTCACATTTAACAGAGAGAGCAGTACACATGCTCCAAGAGCTTTTTGTGTATTGTACGGAATGTGAAATTACGCAGTTCTTTATTGTGGTTATTTGAAAATAATAGAGGGCTCTAGGCTACAATGTAGAAAAACAAAAAGTCCGTTAGCCTCTTATATCCTTCGGTGGTAAAGATCACTAAATACGGGGCTATAGCGCTGTGCGGATTACTGCCAATTAGCAGCGAAACCTTGGAAATCAAGGTTTACACTTCATGCTAGTGTGAACTGCGGGAATACAACCCTAATCATTGCTGGGACAAAGTTCAAGGCAAACAGCTTTAAATGACCAAAAAAAAAAAAAAAAACCCCAAAAAAAAAACCACCAAAAAAAAACCACCCAAAAACAAAAAAAACCCAGCACAATCAAAAAATCATCAACTTAAAGCCTTACTTTATTAAATTTTCAAGATTAGCCTGAAACTTCACATTTAAGAGTATACACATGCGCTCCCAACTGTACCTGTTACGTTACACATTCCCTTAAACCGAATTTTCCCTAAGAACTCCATTACCCAAACAAAACAAAAACAAACAAAAAACCCAGAAAGGTAAGTAAACAGTTCTTTGAAAAGTCCCTACAAAGTAGGAACAGAAACTTGCTCTCACTTTTATGACAATTTACAAAACTCGTTAGCAAAACATTATGCAACACAAGCGTCCCTCCCTCTGCCCTATAGCCAAAAAAAAAAAAAAAGCAAGCAACGTGCTAGGACCTCGAGACAAGTTCTCAAGCAAACGGAGACGAAAACCTGTACCACGCGTCCACGAGACCAATATCCCAGGACGGCCGGAAAATCCACGGAAACGCTCGTGTGCGCTCCAAAGCCTTACCCTTGACAGCGCAGGGCAGAACACCGGGCCTCACACATTTTGGAGCCGCGGTGCTGGAACGCTGGAGCCCAAGACAAAGCGCCCAGGGGAAAACAGCAGTTGCGCAACAGCAGCCGCGCGGCCCGGCCCGGCCCGGCCCGTGACCCGGCGCGGCGGGGGCGCAGGCCGGGCAGCGGCACAGGGCCCCCCGAGGGCCGCCGCGACGGCCGACCGGCCGCGGACGCCCAGGCCGCGCCCACGCAGCAGCCGCGCGCCCCCCGAACGCTCCGCGGGGCCGATTAGCCGGGGCGCGGCCGGGCCCCAGCCCGCGGAGGAGCGAGCGCCGCCCGCTCCGGCCGCCGCACGTCGGGGCACCGCCGCGCGCCCTGCGCCCAGCGCCCTGCTCCCTCCCCCGCGCGGGCGCCGCGCGCTCCCGCCCGCCTCCCGCTGCGGGCCCCGCACAGCAGCGCCCCTGGACGGCGGCGGCGGCCGGGCGGGGGCTCCGGGGCCCGGGCCGGAGGGGGCCTCACCTCCCCCGAGAGCGGCCCCGTGACTAGGCACATTTCTCCGGCTCCGAGCGGAGGAGCAGCGCAGCCCCGGAAGGGCCGGGCCGCGCCGGCTCGGACCGCCCCCGCCCCTGCCCGCTCACGCCCCGGGGGGGCGGCCGGGGCTCCCGGGGGCGCAGCTGCCGGGGCGGGCGGCGCGGCGGCACAGGCCCCCTCCCCCACGCGCGCAGACGCGGCCTCTAGCCTCCCCCGCGCCCTCGGGGCCGCGCCCCCGCTGCCCCCGCTGCCCCCGCTGCCCCCGCTGCCCCCGGGGTGCTGGCGGCCCCTCGGGTTGCCGCCCCCCCCTCCGGGCCCGGCGCAGGCGCAGCGGCTCAGCCTCGGGCCGTGGACGGGAGGCGCCGGCTCCCCGCGCCCCTGTGCCCCGTCGGGCACCGCCTGGGCTCCCGGGTCGGGGCAGCACCTGCTGCGACGGCAGTCCGGGCGGCGGCAGCTCCAGGTCCATCATGGTGAGCGGGGCCCCGTGCTCCGGCGCTCCCCGACGGCGGCGCTGCTCCGGGCTCCCCGGCGCTCGCTGCTCCGCGACGCGGCCCGAGTGGCCAGCCCGGCTGCCGCCCCGCTCCGCCCCCGCCCCGAGGGCGGGGCAAGAGCCGGGGCCCTTCCTTCCCCGGCCGGCGGCGCGGGCCGAGCTTCCGAAAATCCCCGCCCCGCCCCCGCCCCGCCCCCGCCCCGCCCGGCTGACGCAAGAGGCTCGCTGGCCGCGGGCGGGGGTCCCCCTGGGCGGCCGCGGCCGCGGGCGGGGGGGCGGGAGCTCCCCATTCCCCCCCTCCGCCCCGCAAATAAAACCTACGCTCCCGGGCCGCGAGATTAAGAGCTGTTGGCCGAAGGTCGCTCGGGTTCGGCCGCTTTGAAACAGTTTGAACAGTTGGAGCCAACACGCCTGCCGACCCGGCCGGGGCGCCGCTACCGGGCTGCGCCCCCGAGCCGCGCGGCCGCGGAACCCTGCCCCGCCTTATCTCCCCGCGCGCCCGAGAGCGGCGCCAGCCCTGCGGCCGGGCTGAAGGTTGGCCCCGGGCCCTGCGCCGCGCGAGCCGCCCTCTCGCCCTCCGCCCCCCCCCACCCCGGGGCGAAGCGGGCGGGCCGCGCGGGGAGCTCGTGCTCGCGGTGACCCTGAACGCCCTCCGCGCGCTCCCACGCGCTGCCCTCCGGCCCGGCCCCGGGGGGCCGCGCGCAGGCGGGGAGGGCCCTCTGGGTGGGAGAGTGGTCAGCACTGCCCAGCAAGAGATCTCCACCCCCACCCCACCCCGCCCCCGCCCCCGCCAAGAGCGTCGCGGACCCAGCTTTGGATTTTAGGAGTGAAAATAAAGACGACCCAAGTTACAAAATCGTTTGTGTAGTATGGACCCGTCTTGCGGAAACTATGTGTCTAGGAAAAGAAATGGAAAGTTGTTCACCAAAGTAGGAGTTGTAACGTCACGAATGATTTTGATCTTCCGCGTTACTTTACGTATATGTAAAGTCTACAATGAATATGTATTACGTTTTACATTAAAAGAGATTATCTAAAAATTAATCGTCCACAAAAAACTTCAAGTACTTGAAAACAGGAATGTTGTGATATCTTCTACGATTTAAGAGAGAAGGGATAGATGGTTTTTCTTTTGGGCATTAACAATCTAACTCTCTAAAATAATGCCTGTTTTTAGTTTCCAGTTTTTTGGAATTATGCAAAGTCAGGTGAAGTAGACTGTGTTGGCAGAAGTTCTACTATTTCATTCAAAAACCTGACGGGGGGGGATCCCTGGGTGGCACAGCAGTTTGGCGCCTGCCTTTGGCCCAGGGCGCGATCCTGGAGACCCAGGATCGAATCCCACGTCGGGCTCCCGGTGCATGGAGCCTGCTTCTCCCTCTGCCTGTGTCTCAGCCTCTCTCTCTCTCTCTCTCTCTCTGTGACTATCATAAATAAATAAAATTAAAAAAAAAAAACAAAAACCTGACGGGAACAACAACAACAAAACCAAGCCTGACTATTGCAGATCAACGCCCAAAAAACTGCAAAGAACTTACCTTCTGTTGGTTGCGTAATTTGACACTCCCAGGATTATCTGTAAATTTATATGATCAAATATTCCTTGAGGTAAGTGAAGCCTAAATTAATTGCTTGTAATTAAAGCAAACTTCTTCAACTTGAATTAAACCTTTTCAGCTGTTATTTGAAGAGCCTGCAAAATGATCTGCACACCAAAAACAAGCTTAGGAGTAATTATTTACAATGAACCTGACATGAGACATGCAGAGACATAATGAAAAGACATTTCTGCGTCAAAGAAGGGCACAAGAGTATATTGTTTAACAATTCCAGTTACTTATTAGAACTACTACTTGGGAGAAAGTGGACCATGAACCCAGGAGGTAGGAGATATCAAAGTCGTATATGGCACAGTTGCTGCCCTCAAGGAGTTTATAAAGTGTTTGGTATTTCCTGTTAAGCAACAAATTTCCATTGAGTTTAATGAATGAAATAACCTTTATTTTTAAAAACTGCAATTGCTAGGAATGTATTATTTTAGGCACCTCCAGAGTACATATTTTCAAAGGGAGGAGAATAATATGATAACAGTCTAAACATGTTAAAGAAAAATAAACATTAATGAAAAGCTGCTTGATGTTAAGGGGTGGTTCCACACCAGGAAAGGGAACTCCAGTCTCAGACTATCTGTGTCAAAGAAGTTCCCAGTCTTTGTAGACGCTGAAATGACATCTCCATGTGAGAACCTGGGCCCTTCTTTGCCTTCTAGACTATTGTGCTGTGGGGGGCACAGACACTTTGAGAAGCTCCAGAGGAACAGAAAGAGGATGCTGGTTTTCCTCTTGTGTCCTGGTGCCATGGGAATCTTTACTGCCTGCCCCCAATTTGTTTCATATTCTACTACATTGCACATTTCCATTGATGTCTGAATTCTTTGCTGTCTTTGGAAAGACAACACTTTCTATATGCTTCAAATATTTCAGAATTATAATACTTTGTTCTAGAGTTATTGTAAAAAATAAACATCAATTAAGTTTTCTGAGTACACAAAGTTTGGATAATGGTGATGCAATGACCCATTTATTTCACCTTCTTCTCTGTGATCTAATCTGCCAAGTTTGCAAGGCTATGAAAGCCTTTTCAAGAGAGATTGCAAGAGATCTACTGCTTCAAAATCCTTCATCACTTTGAGGCTTCTTCCCCCTTCTTTTTGACTTTCTTTTTAATTGTACTCCATGTTTGGGACGCCTGGGGGGTGGCTCAGTGGTTGAGCCTCTGCCTTTGGTTCCCTACGGGGAGCCTGCTTCTCCTCTCTTTGCCTGTGTCTCTGCCTCTCTCTCTCTCTCTCTCTCTCTCTCTCTCTCTCTCTCTGTGTGTGTGTCTCTCATGAATAAATAAATAAAATCTTAAAAAAATAATTTCTACTATAACATAGTGGATACTATCTGGCTCAAACATGGAGTACAATTTTTTTTTAAGATTTTATTTATTTATTCATGAGAGACAGCCCCGGGGGGGGGGGGGGACAGAGACAGAGGGAGAAGCAGGCTCCATGCAGGGAGCCGGACATGGGACCGGATCCCAGGACTCCAGGATCACGCCCTGGCTGAAGGCAGACGCTAAACCGCTGAGCCACCCAGGGATCCCCTATAGTGGAAATTCTAAATTTGTCTAACTAACAGTTGGAAAATATTGGGTAACTAGTTTCCGAAAATGGTGCCCAATGAACCACCCCCTCCTCATATTGATGTGCTTCTATAGTCCCCCCACATTGAATCAAAGCTGGCCCTGAGTTGCTTTAACTTGTAGAAAGAGGCTGAATCTGATACTAAGCCAGGACTCTGCCTAAGCCTTAAAAAGTCCTGAAAGCTTTTAATTTTATACTTAGAAGTCAGCATTCATGGAGAAAGTCTATCCTCATGGGAAGAGAGGCCACAGAGAAAACCCTGAGGGATGAGACTCCAGGTGGAGAGGGAGCCTATGTGAACCAAAGCACCAGATATGTGAGTGAAGAAACGGTCTAGGAAACTTCCGGCCCACTTAGCCAAGTCCCCCTAACTCCAGCCCCAGCTGCCATCTGACATCATCGAGAGACTCCAAGCAAGACCTAGAGAAGACTGCCTGGCTGTGCCTAATCAGCCCAAAGAATTGTAAGAGACTATGGTCAATTGTTTTCAGCCACTAAATTTTGGGGGTGGCTTGTTTTGCAGCAATAGATAACGAAATAGCATATATTAAATATCAAAGGCAAAGTTTTTCCTGGCTGCTTTTTGTTTGTTAACAATTATTGGAAGCACATATAGGGATGGTATTTAGCAATTTAATAGAGTCTCAAACCCTTAGAAGCAAATTGATTTCCCTGTGAGTGAGGAAGGTATTTTTCCTATAATGTATACTTGTTGCTACATCCAAAGTATGTCACCTTCTCACAGCGTGTATCAGTATCATACCATTAGATAGATGATGGTAGATGATGAGATATTCTTACCAGAATACACGTAAGAAACACAGACATTTCATCAATTAAATAAATGGAGATATAAATGCATATAGAAATTCTGGCTCTGACATGATTTCATTTATACCAGTTATGTAAGAGACTTGCTGAATATCTGCTGAGGGAATTTGAACTTTGGGAGCAGCATGCCCAGTGGATAAACTGAACTCCTGTATAGCAGTGTTCTAAATAATAGGTGTATTAACTTCAAAACACACCCATAACCTTGGTTCCTTGGTGTGCATACCTCACTATGCAAACTACTGATACAGAGAACTATCTCCAAAGCCAGTTTTAACTTGTATAGTTTCCTGCTGATAATAGAAACAATGCTCTGCAGAAACTGCAGTGCCCTGAGTGAAGAGAAAAACCCAGACTTTTAAAGAGTACTTTTGAAATGTGTGTTGATGCTTATATAAATATATATGCAGGGATCCCTGGGTGGCGCAGCGGTTTGGCGCCTGCCTTTGGCCCAGGGCGCGATCCTGGAGACCCGGGATCGAGTCCCACGTCGGGCTCCCGGTGCACGGAGCCTGCTTCTCCCTCTGCCTGTGTCTCTGCCTCTCTCTCTCTCTCTCTCTGTGTGTGACTATCATAAATAAATAAAAAAAAATTAAAAAAAAAAAAATAAATATATATGCATAGAAAAACTGAACATATGCTCCAAAATGATAATCATTCTTTTTTTAAAAGATTTTATTTATTTATTTATTTATTTATTTATTTATTTATTTATTTATTTAAGAGATAGAGAGCATGATTGGATGAGAGGGGCAAGGGGAGGGAGGAGCAGGCTCAGGGCCAACATGGGCTCCATCCTGGGACCTTGGGAGCTTCTGGGACCAGAGCAGAAGGCAGATGCTTAACCAATTGAGGTGTCCGAGTGCCCCAATCATAATTACTCTGATTAGTTAGATTACTTATGATTTTATTTTTCTCATTTTTGCCTGTCTGTATTTTCCTAAATAAACATATATTACTTCTATAATATTGAGTAAAAAAAGTGGGGGTGAGACATGAGGAAATGGAGGAACACTTGCTTTTCTCTCAAGTCACTGGGTCCATTTCATTTTCAAATTGAATTTTAACCACAGGCT